TACTTTCTTAAACTACTGATTCCATAGGTGTTGTTCCTGAGCTGTGTCTCACAATAGTGTGCAACCTGAAATCTCTATCAATTGTTCCAAAATAATATTCACTCTTACAAAGCATTTATGAGGAACACAGACATGACTTAAGATTTCACAGAGCAGAAAGAGAAGATGATTTATCCCAAGAAGAAAAACAACATTAGTGGTCATCTTAGGCATTACTGACTTTAAAATATCAGTTGGGACTCCCCAACTTTGGAGTTTTACTAACTTCTCAATTTATCACAGCCAATCACTTTCTTTCTGTTCCTCATGTCTGCTCTCTCCAGATATCTTGTCCCATTCTTTTCTTCTTACCCTTTTAAAAACAAACATGACTAAATTCTTCTCCACTGACACCAGGCTTCTGTGTGGGGTGGGAGGTTAGAGATCAGGAGGGAGTGTTTGCCAACCTTCTATCCACAAATACGTATTAAGGCATGACCCATACCCTTGGTACACTGCCAAACAAAGGCAGTGCACATTGTGCAGGACATTTTGGTAAATAAAATTTTTTCAAATTTTTATCTGGTTGATAAGTAGGTAAACATAATTCTAGAGATTTATGGCATCTTATTGTGGGTCATAGGCTCTAAATTTGGTCTATCTTGCAAGAATACAGGGAAAAGATTGGAAGACATGCTTATCAAAATTTTGAATGGCAGAAATCTAGGAAGTAATAACTAATGACTTGATAGACGTAATCAATAGCTTGACATAATAGTCGAGAATAAGTACAGTATAATTTAATAGGCATAGTAAAATGTTACACGTAGCTTCAAAAATTCAGATGAAAACATAAGAATTAGGAGATACCTGGTTATGATGGTATCAATTTCATGTATCTACTTGGTGTGGCTGTAGTCCCCAGTTATTCAGTCAAACACTAGTCTAGTTGTTGCTGTGACAGTATTTTGTAGATGGGATTAAAACTCATAATCAAAAGGAGGCTATGCTAAGTAATCTGGGTCAGTCTGATTCAATCAGTTGCAAGGCCCTAAGAATGGAACTGAGATGTTCCTGGGAAGAAAAAATTTCACCTGTGGACCGCAGCTTGTGCTTATCCCTGGGGGTTGCAGTCTGCTCTTTCTGATGGCCTGCCCTGTGGATTTTGGACTTATCCAGTCAGCCCCACAATCACATAAGCCAATCCTTTGCAATAAGTCCCTAAATGTATATATATCTCCCATTCGTTCTTTCTTTCTGGTTGAACTCTCACTGATACACTGCCTTAGTACTTTTAGATGAGAAAAGGTCTCAATTTGCTTTGAATTCATTATGCATTATCACTGTGAGTGGATGCCACAAACAGATAACAGGATCATAGAAACAACAGACATAAGCCACAGTGTTAGTGAGGTAGGCATCCACTCCACTACACTTCACATTATTGTATTCAGCTTCAATGGCCACAATTTAACATGGACTAGCACTAAGATTACTGCTGGAAAGAGAATTTAATTTAATGTAAATTAAGATCTTTATAAGAAAGAATATGTATATATTTGGTTGGGGTTTTTTTGGGGGGGAATTTTGGTTTATTTGAATCAGAGTCTCACTAGGTTACCCAGGCTGGAGTGCAGTGGCACGCTCATGGCCACCGCAGCCTTGACCTAATGGGCTCAGGTGACCCTTCTGCCTCAGCCTTCCAAGTAGCTGGAACCATAGGTGCATGCCTCCACGCCCAGCTAATTTTTTTTTATTGTAGAGACACAGGCTCACCAAGTTGCCCAGGTTGGTCTCGAATCCCTGGGCTCAGGCAATCCTCTCGCCTCCACCTCCCAAAGTGCTGGGATTGCAGGCATGAGCCACCCGTGCCCGGCAGGATCTTTACAAGAAAGAGTCTGTTAAATAAATCACAAACTGCCTTGTATGATACAGTGAGCTTGATCACAGGTATCTCGGTGAGAGATGGTGTCATCTGCCAGGAATACTTGATCAAAGATATTAGATTAGATAACCTCTAAAGTCACTCTAAGATTCTGGAATTTTACTTTGACTAACCATGCTTCTTTGCCAATGCAAGTGCTTTGTCCTTTTAGTTCATGCTATCTAGTCACCCCTGTCTAGAAAGTCAGGCATGTTGGATGTCTTCTGATTGTCCTTCTAGATCTGCTCCATCCTGTCCTGTGCCCTGGGATTCTAACCTATGTGGATTGCATCAACAGACTCCCTTTTCCTCCTGCTTCTGAAGAGGTTTGGCCAAAAGATACCAGCAGGAGGTATGAAGGGTAGGCAAAAAGTGGGGTAGGGGCATTTCTTCCCTGCTCACCCAGTCTGGGTCTCTGCAGGTTGGCTTTATCCCTTGACCGCATAGTTTTGTCAGAGAGTCTTCTCCACATACCCCTTGTTCTCTTTCTCAGCATTCCAGTAGCCATGATTGCCCTGTGGGACTTTAGGGCTACGAGGTGTTAATGCTGTTGCTGTGACTAACCTGGAGGGAAATGTGTGGTTTCCTACATCCTGTCTACATTTTCAGAGATAGTCTCTTTATTAAACTTTTCTCAAATGACTCGGTTTAAATGTGCCATTTGTTTTCTGCCAGATCCCTGACTGATACCCCAAGTAGTTGAGCATGTCAAAATTTCTACGTCATATCAACTGAGCAGTGAAGCAATCTTTGGTGGTAAATGTGAGGAGGAAATAACCTTAAAATATTAAGATTTAAAAATCCAAATTTTTTTTTATCAGCAGTACTCTCAGAAAAGAACAAAGACTAAGGTCAATAACAGTTCTTCCAGTCCCAAAACTAATCTCTCCCTCCTCTGGAATCCCATGGTTCTCAATTTCTATCTATTGGTCTTATTAGATGTGATCACTTTTTTGTATATGCTTCTGTCAGAAGAACACTATTTTCTAATTTATCTTAATCTTTATGAGTGGATATTATAACTATTATAAGACAGGGTTTCTCAAATGTCCTTGGAAAAACTCTTAATAGGCAGCAATAATGAATGCATGTATACTCCCTGGAGGCCTGAAGGGCAGCAAGACATTTCTTTGAAGTCTTAGGTTTGAGCACTCAAAATGCAAATTTTGAAGTCTATTGCATACACTATAACTGTTAGTTCTGAAACTAAAATGGTTTAAATTATTTGCCATTATTTATTTTCTCTTACAACCTTCAAATAAATTTGGTGCTTACGAAGTTGCTTCACGTTTATTGTGTAGTGCGAAATTTTCCAAAAACTGTTTTGAGAAGCTTGGGATTAAAATTTCTTGACAGTGGCTAAGAACTAGAGGACTCTGGCACCAGACCAGCCAAGTTTAAACCCTAGTTTCTAGATGTGTATTATTTGGGGGATGCTAAGCCAAGTACCTTATTTCTCTGTGCTTCTGGTTTCACATCTATAGATCGGAGACAATAGAAACCTATCTTATGTTGAATAAAGTATTTAAAACCATATAGAAAATGCTCAGTTAGAATTAGGTTATTACATATTATTATTAGGCAATAATATGACCACTTCCATGTAAGGGAAAAGGATCTCATTTGAAGGGTTCTTAAATGTCCTTGGAAGAACTTTTAATAGGCGACAACAATGAATGCCTATACACTCCCTGGAGGCCTGGAGGATAGCAAGACATTTCTTTGAAGTCTTAGGTTTGATCACTCTAAAAGTGATTTTTGAAATCTGTTGCATACACTATAGCTGTTAGTTCTGAAACAGTACACAGCTGTTAGTTCTGTTTACTCTTTTAAACAACAGAAGCACACTGAAGCAACCTCTACAGACCTTATTTGCCAAATTAATCAAAGTTTTTCATTTCTTCTATCCATCCCACTTACTGAGGTGCACGGCACACCGAATGCTTGCAGTTAGTGGAATATCTTTAGTACATGTATACACTTGTTCTTACTCCTTGTACACTTACCAAGAGTAAGGAGTGCTTGGTCCCAAACTTATTTGTAGAGTTGTACTGTTAATATAATTATGGAACTTAATAGAACAATATGCAAACTGATTACATCTAAGTGCAAAAAGAAAACATGAGTGTTTCAATATAAAGCAATTGAAATACTATTGAAAAAATTTCATTCAAAAAAGTCATTTAAAATTATCCAATTTAATTGTAGATGAGGCATCTGTAAATGACTAGGGAAAAGTCTGAAAATATCTGAAAGGATTCTGCCCAAGATTGCTTCAGATGTCTTTAGTTTCATATAACATTGGAAAACTGAGAAGGGAAATCATAAATGAGACAGTTTGGGTGTTGTTTATACTAGAAAGGCCAATCAAAAGACCTATGCTAAATACAAAGGAGGTCATGTTTCTATGTAAAAAATAAATAAATGTTTCAATGTATAATATTTAGATTTAAAATAAATTTAGATATGTACATAATTTTATGTCATTAAAAACTGGTATTCTTAAATTTTCTTTGCCAAAGAAGTTTCCCTCTCTTAAATAAGATGTTAATAAAATAGAAATTCATTCATATCTGTTACAAAAGAGAAATCTTTCATGCATCAGACTTGAATTAAATGTTGAAAATGATACTTAAATTTTATAATTAAGCACCGATTAACTTCTGCACACAGACTCTATGGATACATTATTAATATTTTCTAGAACTTTTTGTATCCAGAGGAATCTATCAACTGATCAGGTATGTTTTTATTAGGGAGAGTTTTAGATTGTTAAACTAAAAAAAAAAACCACTATATTAATTGTGGTTTCCTTCAAAGTATTAGAGTTTCTGTTAGCAAAATAGCTGATAAATGTGTAATCCACATAATTTTGGAGATTTTTTTCCTTCATGACACCTGATTATCAATTTTGTTTATTATCATCAGTACAAATTCTGAATCTAAGACAGGGGCAAAAGCTGAGACAATTTGATGCTGCTGTATGTATAAATATTTATGACTATATCCTCTGACTTCTCAAAAAGCAGCTCTAAAATTTGATTTTAGATTACCTGTAGTCATTTTTAATTTATATATGAGAAGGTATTCTACTTACAATGATTTTTATTTCTCTTCAAGAGGTGCTTATTTTGAATTCCTTTTATTCTTATTTTATGTTGATTCTTCTTTTTTTCTAAGAGATTTTCTCTGTTTCTGATTACTTTACTTGATTTTCTTTGTTCCAGTATATGCGATAAAAATTGTTTGATTTCATTCACTGATACCTACAGAGAAAAAGATTTTTGCTCATTTTGTTCATGTGTAAGTTTTCTAAAGAAACAACAGAAAAATGAAAAAGTTAATCTATTCATGGCAAAAACACAAGCTTACTGTAATTACTTTAATTCTTGCTTTTTTCAAATCAAAATGACAGATGGCTTACTTCACTTTAGAATTCCATATGTTTTATGAATAAAAACCTTTTAAACCTATTATATTGTCATCTGAACTGCAGAGCCGAGCATTAAAAGCTAAATGTTATAAATAAAATAGGAGAATTTAACCAATTTACTCTTCCACTATTAAGTTGTCATGGTGATATCAATTGCGTGTGCTAAAAAAAAGAAGTTGATATTGCCTTACTTATTACAACAAATTTATAATGGGTGGAAAGTATAGAAAATCTTATAACTGGCTATAAAGAAAATGTAAAACAATATTTTCCCAAAATACGTTTCAGAAGTTATACAACAAATCTATTTTTATTAGGGTGATGGGATTGAGAGGTTGCTTTTGACTAGTAGAAAATAACGCAGATCTTAAGAGAGAAAATTAAAAGCTTTATGGAGGTAAATATTCATGATTTACATATATACTTTTTCAGAACAAATTATATAATTTTTTTTAATTCGTCAATTATTACTTCTAACGAGGGCCAAGGTTTTTTTTGTTTGCTTTCTTCTTCTTTCCTTCTCCTTCTTCTTTGTCTTCATCTTCATCTTCTTTTTTTTATTTTATTTTTTATTTTTATCTTTAGCATTTTTGTTTTTTAAATTGTGGGCTACAGTTAAGGTTTAGGCATACAAATATGCATCATGTAGGTATCCTTGTTGATGAGGTGTGCCCGCCGCCCGTCCCCAGACAGGTATTGATTACCGTTAATCCCACCTCCCTTCCCCTCCCTGCCCCCCACCCCCACATCTTTATCTTCTTCGTATCAATTTAAACTCTCTTTCCAAGATCACTTTCTGGAATGCTAAATCCTTTCTGTGTGGTAGCAGAGACATCAAAGCAGCGACCCAGGAGCCAGAGCATGCAGAGACATGTAAAGGCATGTAAAGGACTTTATAAAAATAGCTTTACTGCTGGGCGCAGTGACTCAACCCTGTAATCCCAGCAGTTTGGGAGACCAAGGCAAGAGGATTACCTGATCTCAGGGGTTCGAGACCAGCCTGGGCAACTTGGCGAGACCTTGTTTCTACAATAATTAAAAAAAAATTAGCTGGGCATGGTGGTGTGCACCTGTAGTTCTAGCTTCTTGGAAGACTGAGGCGGAAAGATCACCTGAGCCTAGCATGCCGAGGCTGCGGTGGCCATGAGTGTACCACTGCACTCCAATCTGGGGGACAAAGTGAGATTCCAACTCAAAAAAAAAAAAAAAAGCTTTATTGAGATTGCACTCATATACCATAAGTCAATTCACTTAAGTATACAATTCAATTGTTTTAGAATATGCACAGATATGTGCAACCATCACCACAGTCGATTTTGGAACATTTTTTTCACCTCAAGAAACCATGAATCCTTGTGCTATCAATCTTCCTATATCCCCACCCTCCCTACCGCCAGCCCTAAGCAACCATTAATCTATGTTCTGTATCTACAGATTTCCCTATACTGTACTTTCATATGAATAGAATCATATAGTATGTGTGTTTCTGGCGACTGACTACTTTTACTTCGCATAATGTTTTCAAAGTTGATCCATGTTGTAGCATGTATCAGCACTCCAAATCTTTGTATGGCCAGATAATATTACTGATATGGTTATACCACATTTTGTTTATCTATTATTCCACTGATGGGCATTTGGGTTGTTTCCACCTTTTGGCTATTATGAGTAATGCTACTACACGTATCCATGTACAAGTTTCTGTGTGGACAAATAATTTTAAATGTGATTTTAAATTATAAGGCAGACTAATTCAGCAAATAAAAAGACTCCCAGTTAAATCTGAATTTCAGATAAGTAATGAATATTTTTAGTGTCTGTCCAAAATATTACATGTTATCAAATAAAACCATAACATATCATGGCTCAAAATCAATAGTCAGATAATCAAGTCTCAAAATCAATAGTCAGGTGTTCAAGTCAGTGACAGCTCTACTCCATGCTGTCATTCAGGAACCCAGGCAGATAGTGCTGTGCCAGTTTCAACATGTGGACTCCAAGGTTTCCCTGAGCATCAACATCTAGCAGATAGAGAGGGAAAGAGCATGGAAGATCATGTGCAGAAAGGATTTTTGTTTTGTTTCGCTTGATTTGCTTTGCTTTCTTTTCATTAATAAGCCAGGTCTGAACGTGGCAATATTACTTTCAGCCACTTTCCATTAGCTGAAAATCATTACATGGCCCCACCTAACTGCAAGGGGGCTAGGAAACACAATCTACCTAGGTGTCTGGAAGAAGAGAACATGGACTTTGATGAGCAACCTGCATTCTCTGGTATAGTGGGATTATTATATGTTATTGTCATTAAAAGAATGGGATTTATTTTTTTTCAGTTAAAAAATAGCTAGTATCTAGGTTGAGGAGGCTGTACAAGCTTGGGGAGTGCTTGTGATTGTCTAGTGTTTCTACCACTTCCTTCTTTCTACAGAGGCCAGTTTCCTCACATTGGGTTCCTTTCTCACCTAGTGCCAGTGAGTAGAGCAAGTACTAGGGAGTCTCAGAAGACAGAGAGGCTTGTCCCTGACTCTCAAAGGCATCCAAATAATATATAATTTAAAACACGTATTTATTGAACACCTATCTCAAGTCCTCTTTTAAGATCTGGGGATACAGTCATAAGCAATAACAAAAAAGTCTCTGCCCTCATGCAGCCAATTATCTGGTAGGGAAGATAATCATCAACTGATGAAATGAGGTTTTTTTTCCAAAGGGAAGGCATTGGGAGTGATAAAACTTGTGTTATTTGATTCAGGATGGTTAGGGAGAAGTTCTCTGATAACATTTGAGTAGACCCCATGGGAAGGGAGGGAGTTAGGCAAATATCTTAGGAATGAGAGTTCTGGTAGAGGGGACAGCAAATGCAAAGGCCCTGAAGCAGGAGCACACAGTTTTGCAAGGAAGATGAGGTAGCTGAGCGGAGTGAGTGGGGGTGAGGGGAGTGATAAATCCTGAGAGGCCAGGCTCAGGATTGTGAGTCATGATCTGTGTGAATGGGAGCCCCTTGGAGAGTTCTGATCAGAGAAGTGACATCGAATGACTTAAATTTCAAAAGCAACATCTGATCATTCTCTGTGTGCAGAATCTTGTATGTCAAGAAAGAGTGAGGAAAAAAGGAGGTCAATTAAATAAACCAGGTGAGAGGTGACGGTAACAGTGAAATAAGAAGATGGTAATGGGGGAAGTGGTGATAGTGCTTGGTATCTGGATATATTTCAGAAGTATTGTTGGCAGGATTTTCTGTTGAAGGACTTACCATGTGCATTTTAGTTTTTAAACAGCAAACTCAATGGAATAGATTTTTGTAAGTGTGTTGTTAAACTCCCAGGACCTATCTATAGGTTATCTGTATCTCTTAATCAGAGATAGAAGCTGTGTTGTGAGAGTCTCTTTTTTTTTTTTTTTTTTTGAGTAGGAGTCTCACTCTGTCGCCCAGGCTGGAGTGCAGTGGCCGCTCCCAGCCACCGCAGCCTCGACCTGCTGGGCTCTGGTGATCCTTCCGCCTCAGCCTTCCAAGTAGCTGGAACTACAGGCGCGCGCTACCACGCCCAGCTAAGTTTTGATTTATTGTAGAGATGAGGTCTTGCCAAGTTGCCCAGGTGGGTCTCGAACCCGTGGGCTCAGGCAATCCATGTGAAACTCTCTTACCTCGTTAATTGTCCTCTTGCCTCTTCACTTCTCTGTATCTTGGATTCATTCTGGATAAGTTTTTCTCAAGCATCCCTTTAAACATATTACTGGCAACTCAGAATCCCTCAGTCCTCGGCAACAACAGGATGCAATCAAACCCCTTTGCACAAAATCTCAGATTATTCACAGTCTGGCCTAAAAATGTCACAGTGACCTTATTTCTTACTACTCCCACACCTACACAAACATTGATGACAGCCAAGCTCTTCTACTCACTGTTTCCTAAATAGAATAGGTTCTTTCCTACTTCCTTCCCTTGCTTATACTGTTTTCATTGTCCCTTTTCTCTTATTATTCCCAATATTACTCAAAAGCCCAGCTCCAAAGCCCAGCTCCCTCTGCCCATGGCCTTCCCATATCACTGTGACCCACAGTGATCACCCTTCCTCTGAACTTGTGGTTTCTTTCCATCTTGGTTAGCAGTAGCTCCCTGCTCTACAGTGTCTAAAGTCGACATCATAATATATTATCTATTTCATGTTTTATGTATTCAATCAATTATAGACACTTTATAATCGTTTTAATATATTTCTCATTTAAAATAGAGTGCCTTGAGTCACTGGGAGCATAATGAATGTGTGAATTTCTTTATTTCAGAGAAAACCCTTGTCTCCTTAAAGCATGGGAAAGGCAGGAGCATCCTCTCACAAGAGAAACTAAAGATCAGTGGACTTTGAGGAATGAAGATGTAAATTTATCTCACTGTCCTCCAAATAACAATAGTAGACAACTGTCCAAGGATAAATTTTGTAATGTGGGAAAATGGAAAAACAGCAAGTAAAAATGGAAAAAAAAAATAGCATGAGTGATACTAATAATATAGTGCTAATATAACACTTTTATTAATTGCTAAATGCACTGTAAAAGTAATTTTCTGAAATTCAAGAACATTAACAACTGATACACACTGGAGTCTGTATTTATATTCTGCCTTTACATGCAAGAAGCAGAAAATTATAGCTAAACATACAGCCATATTAACTATTCATGGTACAGGGGATACATGGATTATTAAAATCCTAGAAACTAGCTGGGCTCAGTGGCTCAGCCTGTAATCCTGTGCCTTTGGGAGGCTGAGGTGAGTGGATTGCCTGAGCCTGCGGGTTCGAGACCCATCTGGGCAGCGAGACCTCATCTCTACAATAA